CTCTGTTCGACATACTTCTTTTACTTTTCCGGTTTTTTTGTCTCATGTTCAGTAAAGGCTATGAGTAATTACTTGAATATTTTTACTGTTGTCTATTACTGAATTAGTTTGCTTTTTACTACTTACCATAATATCTAATTTTAACTTACCTAATACTTTTTCAATTTACTAACTAGATTACTGCTTTCAATACCCCCTTCTCGTATACTTATTAAAGGTATATTTCTTCCTCCTCGGCATTTCCTCCACCAATCCCCCCAAACAACTCCCACACAGCACCTTTTCCTCTACTTCTAAACCTCAAAATTTCGGGTCATTCCTATTCTTAATAACTCTATGATGCCCCGCACTGTTAACAATCTTTTTGCACCTTTCACACTCACTTCATCCACTTCCATCAGAATTAACATAGCTTATTCTTGTCTTTTTACTTACTAAACACCGGCAAATAATAACCCTTTGGCGGTAGTCATTAAGAACTTGCTGGGCAGAACTAACTAATAACCTATCTCACTCTAACTCCTCTAATATTTTCCGGTAGCAAACACAACAATAATTCTTTTCCTCATCTAATATTCCACAACTTCTTTTCTGTTGACAATCAACACAGTAATTCCCTCCTTTAAACTGATGCTTTTGCTTACGATACTCTTTTCGGTTTCAGTTCATAATATCTACTATTGAAATTAATTACTTGCTTTCTTGACCCATTTAAAAAAAGAAGCAAAAAAAATATTTTCCCAAGACTTCTTAAAGCCAACTATTTATAACCCCTTTTTTATCCCTTTTCCTTAATGGTTTTCTTTGCTTAAACCTTTAATTCTTTTGGTTGTCTTGTAATTGTATAGATTATTAAAAAACAAGCATAATATAAGGATATTTTAGTGTTTTACCCTCCCCTATTGTCTAATAATAAAAAAAGAAGCAAAAAAAGAGATTTTTCATGCCATTGCATGCGACATGTTTTTCTTTGTCTTTTAGGATAGTTTTCGTGGTTGACTTGGCAGAATTGGAAAATTTTCTTTGGTTCTTTCTTTAAAGACTGCCAGCCAAAAGGAGACTTTTGGACTGGCTGATTAACCTTTTTAAGTCTGTAAAAGCAAATTCGTTTATTAGAACAAGATATTAGAATTAAGGCTCTTCCTTAGGATTTATCACTCTTTCTAGTTAACCCAACAATCGCCACAATAACAATTAGGAAGACCAAAAGAGAACCACCGACTATGTAAGGAGTTCAATTTGTCTTTTGAACCTGAGTATTTTGATATTCTTTTTCTCAATCGTTCTCAGTTAGACTTCTTTTTCTGCCGTTTAGTTTGCCCTTTTTTAACAAGTATGCTTTTATCTCTGCCAATTCACCTGATAAGTCAGTTAATTCTTTGGCTGGTTTATCTTTCTTATACTCAATGATTAACTTGTCATTTTCCTCATCATAAGTAAGGTTTTTGATATCATTGCTTTTACAATAATTTCGCACCACACTAACATTAGGGGATTTATCTTTCTTGTCGTCCTTATCTTTCTTGTCGTCCTTATCTTTCTTGTCGTCCTTATCTTTCTTGTCGTCCTTATC